AGTAACACATGCTAATCCTTTTTTGTATATGCTCGAACTTAGAGTTAGGCATCCTGTTTTAAAGAATTCGAGAGTAGGTGACATCGCCAAAGTTAGCGGTTCCGGGTTTTGTAGTCCTTTCAAACCATGCAGATTAGATCAGCATAGTGGTGCTTGAATTTATTTCACAGCAATAAGAGTGCAGGTTGTAATATTGTCAGCGTTATTTCTGTCCTAATATAAAGCCAGTTTCAATATAAATCAAGTTAATTTAGAAAGAGTTTTAATTCTAATGTTGATCTAATAATGCGATTATTCCAATGCAGTTGCGTTCATTTAATGCAATTGTGCTTCACTTGATTATTAATACTCTATGTGCTAGTGAATTCAACTACTTGAATATGTATTCAAGAACATTTGTATTCTAGTACATTTCTCTTTGATCATCGATTATAAAACGAACAAATACAACAAAATCCCAAAAAGAGGTAATCACTCTAAGGTATGAGGATATAATGAGGACGTTTCACACGACAAGGTTTAGAAGAACACTGAAATATTGTTTAGATGACTCATGTATCTGGATTTCATCTGCCCTAATATAAAGCCCACAGCGCGAGTACACTTCAGAATGATAATCAGAAGAAACACTTGGAATATCAAAAAGAGTGATACCCAGGTCCTTTTCAGTGGTGAAGAGGGTAACACTAGAATCTCAGTACGACGTATCTCTGATGTTAACCGTCGTAATTGTGTATCCATCATTACGGAAAAGATTTATGTTATTCCAAATGTACATACTTTGGAAGTCTTCAAGGAAAGCCACAACATTTTCTCGACGTGAAGGAAACGCTAAGAGTCTAGACAGATTTAGGTGGGTCATTATTGAACAATAATCGAACTGGTGGCACATAGATTGTGTCTTGTGCCACTGCGTTTGATACTAAAAATTTATCTGACAAAGTAGTACAAACTACAAGAGCTTGTAAATTCTCGTTTGGGTAGTTTGAGAGTCACATCACCAGATGCTTACTCCCACAGAGTTCAGTCCCTGAAACGGAATGCTGTAGTTAATTTTAAGGATGCTTTGGGTTCAGCATCACCCAAATATTTGTGTTCCAGTGAGATGTTCTAGTTATTACGGGCAGTAAATAGGTTTGTGTTACAGGATTTTCCAAGTTAGGAATCACTTCGCGATTCGGGGAGAATAGATTTTGCCATGGTAGTTGGACTGGGCTTATATTACGCATAGTCTCACTATTAAACCTCCTCATAACCTCCGTTTCCTTGGAGACTAATGTAATCTGATTATATCTGCACGCTCTCAACTTGTGTACCCTATGGGTATGTACAGAATTCAGAAAGCCTCAAGAGATTGATCACACCGTTTGCTACACAATACAGACGGGAAGTTGAATGCCAGGTTAAACCATTCCAACATATTACGCTTTCTCTACTCAATAAAGTAGGTTGAGAGATGTAAGCAGTACATAAATTAAAAAAATAATCAACTGTCCTTTCTGGTTGCACCGATTTTACTTCAACATCTGTCCAATTCGAGACCGTTTACCCTACACCTCTATACACATTGTTAAGGAGATTCCACCATTCATTTAAGTGGATGAAATTCTAATCAATCTGTCAGGATTCTCACTCGAGGTTGGCTCTAATATTGTTATGAAGTCTTTGGTGAAAAGTTTACATATTGGATAAATTCACCAGGTTATTGGGGAAAAATAGCATTATAGCTTTATTCGAAACGATACAAGACTGTTAGAGCAATAACTTTCAACGCATGGCTGGCCAAAAGGCAACCCACTGTAGACGCATGTTTGTTTGTTCACCAGTGAGAGACGATATCTGGCTAGCCGAATTCTTCCACCGAGCTCTCAACGCCAAAAATCAGTTTTGAATTTGTTGCCTTAATGGGGAGAAACTAGGAATGGTGAAAAGTCCTCAATCCATTATAATGTTCTCATTTTTAAATAGTCGCTTGTGAAACAATTTTATGAGTTAGAAAAGATCTTTTCCTCTTACTGCAGCACAGCTGATAGCGTCATCTCGTGGGAACATCTTTAATATGTGTTCGCTCTTCAGAACAGGCAAGAACGTTAACATAAACACTGGGTGATCGATAAATGAATTATGTGCGTCGCCATTTCGATTCACGTCAATCACATTGCAAATCGGGAAAGAAAGATAACACCTTGCAACGATCAAGGTGGGAATCAGTTTATTAGCCAAAAACGATGATTTTTAATAGACAGAAAAATGTAACGAAATGATCGTTTGAAGTTGCCTATTTTACAGTGAGAAATATATTCAACCTAATGATTCAACAGAATGCGGAGTACTTTTGGGTCAGCAATAATATTCATTCTAAATCGGGGTAGTTTTCGTCAGGCCATATCTAAACAAAGAGCTTGTACGACCTATGTATCTCATAGGTGATTTAAAAAGCTGAAAAGCTACAGTACATATGACGTATTATATTATTATTATTAAAAGCTTTATTCAACATTATATTTTTGGTACAACATAGAATTCTCAGCATAAATTATTTCAACAAGTTTCCTTTTCTTATATCTTGATCGATTGTGACGATAAATTTTGAATGATGACCAGTTAGATGTTAGGAGTTCGGTAATCCACATTTGATTAATATTCATTCGTTTAAATGCATATTGTCAGCCACCATGATGTCGCTGATTGTACCTTTTTGAATCCCTTATAGCGAAAGGTTGTAAACTTTTCATAAACGCGCATGAATACATTGTGTGTGCAATAGACATAATGATCGGCTAAAACAAGCAACAAAACAGATAACTTGATGAAATTTGTAGATCGGAGGAACAGGTAGCCCAGATATTCAAGCAGGCCGCAACTAAATGCTTATTCAACGTAAGGATTTAAGATTTTTCTGTCTGATTTATAACTTCGTATTTCATTACAAAGATTCCAGGACAGAACATTAGGGATATTTAGAATTCATCCCGAGTGTCTGTGTTATTTGTCGACAATAATTTGGACAATAATTTCTATCTTTTAGCATCAACTGAGAAGTAGTGGTCAAAAGAATTGTTATGTATGTAACGAAGATCTTACAAATATGCGAAGCTCAATAATAATGAGGAATAGAATTACGCCTCATGCATTTCCTACTAAAACACCGTATAACCTTTTTCTCTGCGTAAAGTAATCAGTGTGATGTAAAAACGGTAGACAAAGTTGTTACAATTCACAATAATGCATAACAGTTGTGACTACTTATGTGGAAAAATTACCCAAAAACCTTGATCTAGTTAGAAACCGAATGGTTGACGTCAAGATTCTACAAGCATCCGGAGTCTGACAACGCCTTTAAATGTAACACCTTCATGATCGAAGAGTGACAACCCAACCAAATCCAATGTCAAGAAAGAGGAGGTTCGAAGGTACGTCGAGAAGCGTTTAGTTGAAGCTGTCTAATTGTTGCAAGGGATGCGTAGCACAGCATTCACACTCGTGATCTGGTGTGGATGGGTGACCGGGAGACTTCAGATAGGTGCGTCCGTTGAAACTAATGAGGTCAGCACCAATATCGAAGACTTATAGAACTATTTATTTTGCGGATTTTTTACCGCTTCACGCTGAAATTAGTGACAACGTCACTTTTCTTAGTGATAGAATTATTTCGTCTAACGACGACCACATAGTCAAAAGTTGTTTCTGTTTGACTTGCACAAAAAGTATTAACATTCAAGTGTTTGCGCAGATTTTTAATGAGTTTGCCCTTTATTTCCCTTTTGTTATGAATCAGCGTGACTATAGAGACCTATGTAAATAATTATGCGGCATGTAGCATAAAAATGAATTTCAGGAACGAAAAAAAGTTTCAACAGAACATTTACAAAATTTGTACTGTAACTATGGGATGAGTAGCATGTCAACAGACTTATAATGTAACACTCTACAGATAGCCCAGAAATCGGGCTATTTATTATTATTTATTAACTTTACCAGCGTTCGTCTTCCCATTTCGCTTTTGCGTTCTCACTGTACTGTTACAACATTTTAATAGGTTATTCCTTTGTCTTGTAACATGACAGCTGTTTGGTTCAGCAATCATACTGACCTAAGATGACTGCGTTTATGTGAAATCGAGAATTATCAGCACTTAGATTATTATTAGGGACAGTAAGGTCGAGTGAGTGGCCTATCATGGTTAGATTTTAGCAAATACATCGAATACATCGGACTGAGAAGCCAGTAAAAGAATCTCCTAGTTAACGCATTTCCTAGAGATACGGACACAAACATGATGAATAACATTGAGCTCTCTGTTGTCCCAGCACACAATGACTAAGGAGTCATCGTTATCCAAGACTAAAAAACTACTTCACTATGTCGTGCATTATCTGTCAAAGATTTCATAGCCCTGTGGTCAACACGTAGGGCCTTTAGTCATGTCGTCGCTAAAACGTTTTTGACTTCACATACAGCATTAATGCGTCCTAAACTTGAGTACTGCATACAAGCGGTTAGCTCCTGCTCAAAAAAGACAGTAAGCTTTTGAAAAGGGTTTATAGAATAAAAACTAAGCTGGTCCCGGAATAGCCAAACTCTTTTATGATGCTCGACTGGCCAAACTAAACCTATTCTCATTGTCATGTTGAAGAAGTACAGGTGACCTAATAACGCATCTCAAATTACTTAGTGATAAACTTACACCTAATATGCACTCATTTCCGTTATCCGAAACATGAAGTCAACGAGGAAACTTCAAAAAAGTTAAGAATCCCAGAACAAATTACTTATCAGATGAATATTGACTGTACCATCGAACCAACAACTAGTGGAATTTATTATATAAACATGGGATTGAAGCTCCATCAATCGAATCTTTCAAAAGAAAGTTGAATAATCTGTAAGAACATCGGTGCCAGAACTAACACAGATCAACAAACATCCTGGCCTTTGTAGTCTGAAACCGAGATGTTAAATTGTTATGTGAATACCAGCCTATCGTTGCTATTAGCGACGACCGAACAAACCCGCGATATATTTATGCGGAAGCCAGCCCTTCTGCGTCTAGTAGCAGTGGATCACCAACATCTTCAAACAGGAACCTAGGTATATTAACGATAATGGAGGAAAAACGAAATTGGCAAATCATAATAAGATGTTATTCTCAGTCCCTAAGAACAGGTCAAGTTTCCTCTTAAATGACTCCTGGGAAGTCGCTTGGACTAGCTCAGACGGCAACGAATTCCAGCATTTGACAAATCTTAAAGAGTAGAAGTTGTCTACAGTTCGCCCTACTGTGGTGTGCCTCCAGTTTCTGGGTGTTATCCCCTAGGTTTGTGCTGATACTAAGCTTAAGTAAATGTTTAAGGGGTGTTCAGAAATGTTAAGGATACAGTAAGCCATTAGAAAGTCACCTCTAAGACGCCTGTACTATAATAGGCAAAGTTTAAGCGATTAAAGGCGTTCTTCATTAGGCTTGAATTTCAATCCTCGAACTGATTTCGTGGCTCGCCGTTGGATACGCTCCAGAGTGTCCTTATCCTTTTGGAGTGAGGGAGGAAATACTATGTTTCCGTACTCTAAATGGGGACGAATAAAACTGTTGAAGATTATGTGGAAAGTTCTTCTGTCAAGCTGGCCAAAAATGCGCTTCAATGTTATCAGTGCAAGGTTCGCTCGTAAGGCATTTTTGTCACAGTTAGCGTAAGACTTCAAACAGTAGCATACCAAGACTCCTAAATCTTTTTCGACTCGGGATTTTTCTAAAAATGAGTCTTCTAAATTGCAACTGTAGTCTGCAACATGCTGCAGATGGACTACGTAGTCCATCTGCAGCATGTGTAAAGTACTTTACACTTTAGTGTGTTGAAGGTAATTCCGTTCTCATCTTCCCGACTTCGAAGTCAAATCAGATCCTCTTGATGTGCCAGTATATCCTCTTAGTTGCGTTTCTCTCATCAAAGTTTCACGTCATTGGCAAAAAGTAATAGGTCTGACGATACCTGTTGTGGAAGATCATTTTTATAAATTAAGAAGGGAAAAGGTTTTATTACTGAGCCCCGGGAGACCCCTTTAGTACATTACGTAGCCTGAGAGAATGTGAAATTAACCTTGACCTTAAAATGTCTATTTTTCAGATATGAAGTGAACTTTCTGGGTCGTCAAGTTTTAATTATTCTTTCTTTCTCTGTTTCACCCCCCATCACGCTACTCTGCATGCTCCACTTGTAAACAGATTGCCTGATTAGACGCAAACAGCTAACACAGACAATCGCTTCAGAAATTTAGTTTCATCCATTAAGCACAAATGTGCCCGGTTAATGGCATTATCAATGAACCAGTAATAGTAACAGTCAAAGTTTGTGATGAGGCTAAAGGAGGTAACCTTTCATTTTACACTATGAGATCGGAACTTCGTTGTCCTAAAATTAAACTGTATAGTTGAAAAAGATTTCAGATGTGAGCTGGACGTTCTTATGATTGAGATGCCGTACTTCAAAGACTTTTTGATTAAGGATGGTCAGTTTATCAGCGAAGTAGAAATACTTGTTCACTGTGACCTAAAAATATTTGAGTGGCTACTACTTTATGCTAGAAAACACATTGATCCTGATGCGTATAAAGAATGCATTTTGTCAACTTCGAATGTCCTTGCACTATTAGTTTCATCGAACTTTCTTAAAATGGAACATCTGGTAGGTTAAACAGAAAGGTTTGAACAAATAATGTAAAGACTTCTGAATGTTTAGAATATTTCTGCAAACATGCTGGAGATATTATAGCAAGTCCTTTCTCTTTAGATTGTTTGGGCGATAGCTTAGTTGAGCGGTAGTAGGAATAGTAATTATTTAAAATGTATTCTAGCATCGCCCTTGGGTTGAAATTGGAGGAACTGGATAAGATCAAGGATAAGAAAGACAAAATAAAAAGGTAGTTCCATTCCCAACTTGGGGCAAAACATATCATTACAGCAAAATCTTTTTCAAGAAAATTGAACATTTGTTTGATCCTGAGTATACTACTTCATACTGTCCTAACAATGCAGCGTATCTATTTCGGTAAGTTAACTGTGGATCATGTATATTGTTTTTCTTGATTTATATGGTGATATTTAAGCGGTACAGGCAAAGTAACTAAAGTGGTATAGTTTCAGGGTAAATATACATGTTAATAGTTCTGTCGAAGCTTTCAAGATGTAAAGTAGTTGAAGCAGCTGATTATTATCCCCACTAGGGTTATTAAATAGATCTATACTTCCTTAGAGCCGTTAAATCAACATTCGTTAGTTTTTCTCACATTGAGTATGTATCATCTTTCAAAATCAGGAGAATTTATTGCTCTATACGTTTTGGTTATTTACTTCAATATTCAAGTCAAGTGCATTGTTTGCGTTTTATTTATGTATATCCAGATTTGTGTAGTAACGAAGTAATAAGTAAGGGCACTTTTTCTCGTCATTATTTTACTTACGCAACATAATTTTGGGATACGACGTCAAAAATATTTCAAAATTACACCAATGTCGCTGTGGCCACTTTTAAAATTGCATTCGCGGTTTACCGATTAGAAGAAAGTAAGGTATACTGTTCTTCAATTACTTCTAATATGGTAATTCCACTCCTTGCCAAAATACAGATTTATCTAAAAAGTAAAAAAAATGTATTGGCAAAACTTCCAGAACACTTTTGCCTTAACTGAATCGTCACCTTAATATCTTTAGAAAATTTCATGTATTTTTTTAATTGTAAGTGATAAACCTTAATAAAGATTCATTTGTGCTTTAGGCCCTAGTGTATGATTATGGCCAAATTATTGTCTATTTAGCATTGTTTTAGCGTGTTTTTGCAGTTATCTTATCTGATTCTCTTTTTCCAACATTCTTACATGCTCATTGGATATAATTTCTAACAAAACGTTATGTAAACTTGCCTTCGTGTATATGTATCTAGAAACCTACAGGTTATATGGGTCACAAGGGATGGAAGTCTTAACATTAAAAATTCGTATACAAGTAAAATGTTTATCTATTATGATTAACTAACATATATAGTTCTACTAATTTATTTTGCACTGATTTATTTTAATCAAATCAAAATATATTTGAAGATGTCAAAAGTGCGGTAAGGTACTGACGAGAAACATTTCAATTATTGTACCTTGTCTTCCAAATCGCTTTATAATTAGTCGACGTGGCGATATGATACCTGTTCATGACCCTATGGAACCAAGTGAAAAAGAATTAATTTCGACAGATGAACCATCTCATCAATGTATTGAGGCTAGTGATTATTCGAAACACTCACATACACCTACATCATCAATTACATTCTCGAATTTACATTGTCGATCAGTAGTCACATCAAATATTAATGGACAAATAATCATGCCAATTAGTCAAAAACTAACAAGTTTTTCATGTACAGAACTTTTAATTCAATGGTTTATGGAATCAGGAAATTGGCGCGATGTATTTTGGAAACTATGGGCTACAATAAATCTTCAAGTTAGCCAATAAGTTAACTATTTCTATGCAGTTAGATTTTATGTTTTGAAAATATAGTAAATATTATCGGTCAGTTCACTTTTTAGTAAACATATTTTAATTAGCTGATAGATTAAAAAGAAAGATATTTTGCGGACTATTTCTCGATACAAAATGTAGATTAACAGGTTACACTGTAAAATGCTCTAAAGATGGTATTGTAATGGTTTTTCACCACCTGGAGAGTAAGGATGTTATGGATGTTTATTTTGATCTCATACAAGATTCTTATGCAGTGTGCAGCCGTAATCTCAGTTGATATTCTGTATAGAAGCTCCAGGTCTCTATAGGATTATGATACGTAAACCGTTTAATAAAAATCCGGCGATTTTCATTTCCAACCGAAAATGAAGTGTGTGCTTACACGTGATTAGATTGTGTCGGATCAAGTTGTTCCAATGTGAAGTTGTGACTAATTTAGTTTAGCTATGTCAGTAGTGAGACAACAATTATTGTCAATGATGGTGAAAAATGATCTATGGACATCGTAGAATGATGGAGCTGGAACTATATCATAGAGTTTGAAGCCAATCTTATTTAGATACATGCATTTGTTAAAAAACTTGGAGCTTCTGAATACTATCCTAAATGGAGGTAAAAATAGAAACTATTTAAGGGTTTAGAACAAGAATGCAACAGTTGTTTAATGTTCAACAGTTTCATCCGACTTAAGGTAGGTACGAAAGCTGTTCTCAAATTTAAGGCACACCAAAAACTCATATATATATATATATATATATATATATATATATATATATATATATATATATATATATATATATATATATATATATGGACAGTAGATTTTAAAATTTCTGGCAGAAAAAAACTCAATAAACTTCACCAATTAATGCTTAGCTACTGAACCGATATGATCTCAGTGCTAAGATAACACTTAGCAAAGACCTCAGTTTTGAAGTTGATTGGAGTAGTCCAATGGTATCGAACTTTTGTTTCACTTACTTAACTACGCCTGTTACCCCTCATGGAGGAGCATAGGCCACCCATCAGGACTTCCCATCGAACTCCGTCCCGAACAATCCTCCTCAATCGCTATTCTTTTTCATGTCTGCTTCCGATTCTCGACACGGTGTGTTCTTTGGCCTCCCTCTTTCCCGTTTCTCTTCAGGATTCCAAATTAGCTCTTGCCTCGTGGTGCTGATGATTTCCACAATATGTGTCATTCCGTATATGTCCATTCTCGGTAAAAGAAAATGAGTTTTTCCAATTCATATTATCCTATTAACAGTTCGCTTAACTCCAAACCTTATATACATTCGTGCTTCCTTGAATCATGCTATTATTGATAAATTATTTCGTTTTTATTTATTTTAAATGTCTAGTTATGCAAACGTTGTGGCCAACAATTTCCTATAGTTGAATTAGGAGATGGTTGTTTCTATCATACGATGACTCCCGTACCTGTTCAATCAAGTCATATAATTAATAATACTGTTTCAACGAAAAACGAGCTATCAACTAGTCTAGATAACTGTCAACTTGATGATGAATGTGATGATATTTCCAGTAATAATCGATTTACATCTACATTTAAAAAACCAGAAAATATCCAATTTCATTGTATAAATGCTAAATCTCATGAATTATTGTCAAAAAAACATTCACAATCAAATATTACTAATACTGGCTTATCAAGGTTAGTAATATTTGTACAAATAATAAATTATAATTTTAGTCATAAATTGAGTGTTGATTTTTAAACACTTTTCAAATGGGCTAAAATATATACTACAGAAATTTGGTTTCTGATTATTGAGTTGACTGTAAGCGTACATCAATTGTTTCTACTTAAAGAAATAATACTGATGCTGTTCAATGTTATCAGTCCTCAATGTAATTCAAATATAATAGTGTTCATTTTACTTAATCCTCCAAAGACATCATGATATCTTTAGAATATCAGTAAACACAGCGGCATAGTAGTGAATACAAAGTTTTGGTTCACTTAAACTTACTTACACTTGTTACTCCTCATGGAGGAGTATAGGCCACCCATTAGGACTTCCCATCGAACTCTGTCCCGAGCAATCCTTCCCAGTTGCTATTCTTTTTTATGTCTGCTTCCGATTTTCGACACAGTGTGTTCTTTGGCCTCCCTCTTTTTCGTTTCCCTTCATGATTCCGAATTGGCGCTTGCCTTGTGGTGATGATTTCCATAATGTGTGTCATATCCTGTTCAGCCGGTAGGTAGTTTGTTCTCTCATACAGTAGGTTGTTGCAGACGGTATCCGATCAACAGACATTCAGTATCTTACGTAGACAATTGTCTATAAATACTTGTGCATTTTTAATAATGGTTGTGGTAATTTCAACTCCGTACAGTAGAACGATCTCTACGTTCGTAGTGAAGACTCTGACTTTGATATTGACTGGCAGTCGTTTTGAGTTTCATATGTTCTTCAACTGTAGGAATATTGTTCTCGCTCTACCAGTCATTGCTTTTATGTTTGCATTGGATCCTCCTTATTTGTCAGTGATGCTTCGGTTTGGGCGCCCGGGCAGTATTGCGGCCCTCACACAAATCGAATGATGAAGTTTGATACATATATATTTGGTACCTCCTTGTACCAATGTTTTTGTTTAAACAAATAGTAAATAAATCGATGATACTGCTTAAGTACGTGGAAGTTTCCACCTCTTCCAGAGGTTCTCCATCAAGTGTGACTGGGTCATGACTTATATTTTAGCATATTTTAGCTTGGTTAACACAATCTTATCATCCCTATTAGGAAGCAAAACCTAACACTAGTTACTAAAAAATAATCAATCATTTTGGATGTCTAATCTGTATTTCAGTGGGATCTAAAATAATGTTATTCCCTGAGAGGGTAACAATTAGTGTTTATTGTACCACATCTATATATATCTATATAAAGTGACCACAAGATTATTAAAATTAACAGTTATCTGTTAGGTTATGTGGATTAGAAATTTACGAGTCGATTGATGATTTGTTTTACTGAAGTTAATGTTAGAAGACTTTGATAATCACTCAGAAATATCGTTGGACTCCGGGTGGTCTTGGAAATAATTCAACTAGATAGCACTATTCGGATCTTGCAAGATACATCTTGAAAACAAATGATCATGCTTGTTTATAATCTAACCTTTACAAAACAGCTTCTTTTATAATTTGTGTCTTCTGTTTTCTTATTCGGGGTTGAAGTGTTAAACACCTTTGAAGACAAGAAAGTGATTACGAAATTAGTGTATAAGCGTTCATTTGAAAGACTTATCACCTAAAAATGTTAGTTTCATGTCTGGTCGTCACTAATTGCTATGTTGGGATCGCTTATTACTTATGCTTGTAAAACGAGGAACCACTGTAATTCCTACGATGCGAAGACTGGTGCAAATGAAGATTTACTAATCACAAAACACAACTATCCTGGTCAAAATTATGTTCGTCCTATATTGATTTTACACTCATTTTGATTATTAACTAGGATGAAATCTCATATACAAAAAAAACCCAGATTTATAGCAAATCAGATGCTGCGTGTCATGCTGAAGATAATCTATGTTAATTTAATACTAGAATATCGTATCTTGAATAAACATGACACTCAAATAAATTAATGTTATACCAAATAAAATATCACACTGGAAAACAAACACAAATACTACACTAAGTAGTTATCACATTGAATTAAACATACGGAAGTGATGTTGAACAAAATTCACAATAGGTAAAAGAATGCAATTTTTACTTTTTCAATCCTGTTATATCAATTAACAACTAGATTCTTACTCATTGATACAATAGTATCTTGCTCACTGCCGGACATGAAGTTCTTACCTTTCGATTTCATGTATAGTTGTATGTTTATACAAATTATGAGTTTTATATTAGAACAGAAAACTGCCTATTGCTTTCTAATTATAAATGATTTTTCAAATGAAGTCAATTTGTAGTGTAAACGTATCTTTTAAGTGGACCAATATTCACAAATCAACTAGTTAATAATTTATTTTCTTCAAAGATTTAGCTTGATACGACTTTAATTAAAATATAAATATTTGCTAAAGTTTACTGACTAGAATTTTAAAGTCATTTTGAGCTTATATATATATATATATATATAATTCTTTTTTTCAGGCATGATAAACCTGATTTCATTTATCCATGTTGTGGATTGGGCTTATCAAGATTCAATTTATTCCCAACTCAAAATGTGAGTTTAAAACCCCAAGAAAACAGAACATAATGTATATTTAGAGAATGATACTTCGTTTATTGACCCATTGAATTAAACTAATTATGTTCAGAATTTTTCTCATCAACAACATGAAAAACTGCATTAAAATATAATTATTGAACAAGTAAACAATGAAGATAAGTGGTTTGTGGAGATCGGTTCGTTTTATAATTGAAAGTTGTAATCAGCAGAGTTCAACAAATTTAGTTGTAAAGCAGCTAGTTGGACATTATCTTGGTTTTGATTGAAGACAGACATGTCAAACATTAGATGCTTACACAGTGTTCTAAGGGTTAAGTGCTGACAATGAGATATGAAGGTTTTGGGTTTGATCCATGATGTGGTCGTGAATACTCACGGGTAAGAAGTCGTATATCAGGACAAAACACTGTCCAGTGCTCGTTGATTTCGAACAGTTGTCTAACCAAAACCAGTTCATGATATAAACTACAAAATCAAAATATAGTTCTTAGAAATTTGACATATTTTAATAATTTTGATCAATTTAGCAATATTGAACTTTATGACAAAAAAATGACATGAGATAAAGCAACTTGGACAGATACATATTTGTACTGTGTTCTTCTTTTTGAAGATGACTGACTACTTGGCCGATTTAATTTTGAGTAGCAGTTTGATAAAAGGTGAACAATCTTCAAGCCGTTTATACTAAAAAATAATAATAAAGAGTATTAGAGTGAACAATAGTTTTCGACAAATCCTTCGTCTAGTCTCTACAGTGATAATTTCAAACTTATTGTGTTACAATCAACAAAGTATTAAATGAAAATTAATAAATGAAATGCTCATGTTTTACATTCTCTTTTCAAAAGCCACACTGAACAATGTTCTGAGATGCGTTTAGTAAGCGATCGCTCTGTGCGGTCATTGTAATCCGCCCAGCAGGAGCGTGTTAATTCATAGATGCACATCAATGTGACCCAAAGCGGAAATTTATCCTTGACACATCCGTGTATGATAGACCGGCTTGAAAAGACAATACAAATCTTAGCTGAATAGGTTTTATTTAGAGATCTTGAAATTCAGGTAGCTGTATCTCCTTTAAATTCGATATTCATAAGAAGATTTCTTGTGAACTGTTGGTGCTTTTTCAGGACGTTGTCTTGGTGTCAAGTTACTATCGACAATGAAGCAATCTTTTCTATATTTCTATGGATATATATCTACCAAACAACCTTGTATACAAATGTACAAGTTAAGTAGATGATTTCGTCAAAAAGAAAATATACTTCGCTAAATTCCCCTTATTTTTATTTCAGTATAATTTTTATCATGAACTAAAATAAGCTGAAAGGGAATCTTCTTTCCAATATATTAAATAAGACTGACCCTAATGTATTTACGTCAATCAATGAGCATTATAAGATTGAGTTACTGTGTTAAAATCAACTGGTCCAAATTTGTAACTTCAGTCAATATAGGATATTGAAATATCCTCAACTAATGTTATCGGTATGATACGCTCTTATCCTCACCTTAGTTGGATGGCAACAAAATTGATTAGTTCATGCAGATTATGATCTGAGCTTGAAAACGTCACATAGTATCACAACACCACATGGTAGCTGTATGATGTGTGGGTGGAATATCTTGAGTGATTGAAATATTCATTTAGTCAAGGGCACTGCCTGTTTACCTTGATCTAGATTATTCCAGTATTATATACATATATATTGCTTGTTTACATATTTATTCGCTATCTGACAATCTAACTTCCCATTACACTCCCAGTCTTTTTACTATGCATTAATGGTAGAGTTTATACATTAAGGGACGTACATTATTTACTGAATTGAACTGAAGCATAGAACATGATCCTTAAATCCCTTAACTTGTATACACTAAGTAATTGTAGAAAGCTAAAAAGGTATACTGGATGCTGAGAGAAAATTATAAATCCTTCTCTCTTAAAAAAAAAGTGAAAATGGATTATTTATCCTACCTCACGTCAAAATCTTAGATGAGGCTAATGAAGTTTAGACACGTAACTATTTTAATCTTTAACAAAAAAATATACATAGGATTAGTTTTAATACAGTTCTCATTATCATTTTAAAATTCTATATACAGGGATGTCACAGAAGTGAACATATTTTAAATGAAGATAGTTCAGATCCTGTAACAAAATTATGTATACAACATCGTGAAATGATTATGTCATGGGCTACTAAACGATCATTCAATCAAAATAAGTAAGGATAATGTATATATATATATATATATTTCTCTTTAAATGAATTACAAGTCAATAACCAATTTGATCTGTGAATATTCAGTTGAAAATCATGATAAATTCATCAAATTGATGTATGGTTGATACTCATCCAATAATTTTTACCTATTCATAATTGGAACACTTTGTTAAATGAGACATCAAGAAATATTCCAAATGTGCTAGTTTTTTGAAAACATAGAAGACAGCAATTTAACATAATGATGACAAAATAGTGATTATTGAAGTAGATACAGTTTATTTAAGAATATTACAATGTTAAATTTTATCCCTTTTAAAATGCACACTTTACGGTATTGTCGAAAGACAAAGTAGATAATTAAAACACGTTTTTCTAATGAGCTTTATGTTGATAACTCCTTGAGTTATTAAATCGTAAGATCTATAAATTCCAAGTATGCCAATAGAGGTCATTCCAATACAATTATTCTTCAATCCACAGTTTAATATCATAAGTTGATTAACTCTAATTTTCTTACTCAATTCCAGTATAAGCTAAGTATGTACTTAGTCTAGAATCCACTGAAATATTATTCATAGTATACGTCCAAACTACAAAGGACATTTTCCTATATATAATATAACATACTAAATAGTTTTTTTGCATCATGCCTAACTACTAAGTTGATGATGTAATCCATAGTGCTAACAGGATTAGAAAATTATTTACCAATCAATTTAAGATGAGCTCCTATAAATAAGATTATTTCCCTTACTTAAATATTTATCAAAGTATACTATAATTATTTCACAAATGAATAAAAGGAATAATATGTCACTTGTTTCTCATATATACTCCACCAAAATATCAACTCAATTTCTTTTGACTAATTAACTATATTAAATAGATGTTTAAAGATTGTTAGCTACTAGTTTAAACTAAAAACTATCAACATTCATTAGACATTGTTACTGGTGTTTTTTTTCTAACAAACTAAAATATGACGGTTCCGTCCTAATGTTCAGCAAAGTATAACAGTAGATATGTGTAATCTTTTTTTATTTTTGTAGTGAGAATCCAGTGATTCACAATTTTAATTTTACTCTATTTGTCCTATAGGGCAGTCTTCATTTAATATTATTAGTGAGTTACCACCTCATTAGGGAAATACTTGTTAAATAATTGAAGTATTAATTTTTTTAACCGTTACTATTGCCCCTAAATGCCCTGGTATGGACGAGAATGGGGAGAGTCCGCTCTTCCTCTCGAAATGCTCTAACATAGCCACACGTATATAGCCTCTGTCAGGGAAGTCCTATTCAATGCATTCTCGCGGTAGCGGTGTTGTCTAAAAACTTGAAAGGATGAAAAGTGAATGTCTAGCGCTTCAACAGGTTTGGTGGACACGGAGTATGTATCTAGGGGAGTTGGAAAACCCTGATTTCCAATCAATAGTGCACATGGGCTCCAGTACCCCGAAGGAACAAATGGCGTATGAACTAATTATTGGTCACCAGCTACCATTGAACAGCATCTTCTGACGTTGCTCCACTGACTCGTGGATCAGACCTGTAGGTCGAAGACCACGGGTATGGCCCCCCCAGGAGAACCACCTGCTTCTATTTGAGCACGTGGGAAATATAACAGCCCACACAGAGATCAAATGACTTGTGCGGTACATATGTATTCGGTGTCCCCTTGTACCAATATCTATGTGTTCAAATAAATAAATAAATAATAGCCGTTACTACTGAGAGTTCGAAATATATTCCACTTACATCCGTTTTACTAGCTATGTAGTATCACCAGTCCCTAAATATGAGGGTGGTCCATAGTTAAGTAGATATACTCGTGTTTGGTAAATCAGTTATGTATACTACCTTATTTTCAATACCGTTGACTCCGTATATCATAATTTCTCACTTGAACATCCGAAAATCTACACTGAAACTAGTCAATTACGTTGAATTAATTATCAAATTAGAAAATTTAAGGATATTTCACAAATATATAATCTATTATTTGTTTTTCTATTTTATTCTTAGTGACAATAATTCATCTGATTCTGTTATTAATGGTGGACATTCACACAATCATAAAATTGATTTAAGTCAAATTATTTGTAATAAAGAACTTGTTTACAAAGCTCCAGCATTTACACTTTTAGCCTGTTTGGATAAACAACCTGATAAATATGATAAACCAGAAATGTCAAATGTAAGTCATCTACCAAATAATATTTATTTATTTCACGTAAATTTTAAAGTTTCATTTGTTTTTGCTAATGACGATCGGTAGTTGTCGATGTTATGTGACATCGTTTAGAAGCAACCACAGTGACCCATATACATGCACTGTCTATCATAATCTATATCACGAGTTCCAGCACTCCGTCATACATACACATTCTCATTCTGTCTTTTAAAACCACGTTGATTATGACCGACTGATTGTTTTCTAGTTCATGACATTGGGATATTACAAATATATTATTTTGCTTATTGAGAACGTAGTTCAAAAAGATAGGCTTTGGTGATATTCGTAAAGGAATACTGGAACTCAAAATTTATATGACAATACAAAGAGAATACATCTGGGTCATTCTAACCGATTCTGATTTATGTCTCTCTACGAAATCAACTACTGATCACGGTTATCGCGTGGCTGTCTGGACTTACAGACATAGCCCAGTCAAACAATAAGTGACTTAATCGAATAGGATCATGTTTTTATTTGTCCATCCATAACATAATTACAACTTACTCCTATTTCAACTATTATTATAGCTCGTGATAGGTGGTGTTCGAGTACATCTTATGCATACTATAACCACCTCAGTCTACGAAAATGTACAAACTAATTATTCGATTTGCCATTTTTACTTAGTACCCTATATCTAAACTAAACATTGATCACTCGATTGCTTCACGATACACAAATGGTTCGAAGGGATCAGCGTTTATGTGCATGCATTTATACAATCCAGAAAATGACTGGTGATATTAATTTAAAAGGTCGAAACTAAGTTTTGCTGAATTTAATTGCGTATTGCATTTGTACTGGCCTTCGTGACTGTTTTAATAATATATCTTATTGGTCTATAAAGTGTGTGTAATTTTCGAAGTAATAGTTTGTTTAATAAACCATAGTTACTGATTCGTGTAAGATCTAACTACTAAAATCCCCCAATTTCACACTTCATAGACTGATTTGACGAAATTTAACTGTAGCCAATAGAGTGATGTACTGATACGAAGAAGATTGCACTGAACAACACAAAATATCAACAATTATAGTTATTTACTTCAATACTTTGTATGGATTTCTAAAGATATAGTCTGATACGTGACTGGCGTGAATTGGTATTAAATTAAAAAAAATATATCTATCACTTAAACACATTTATAATCAACCAAAAATATAATAAGTTCATGGATAAATAATTTACATTGTTTTAACAATAGGATTATTTAGACGATAAAAAAAGCATAATTCAGAACTAATCAACGTCCTAATTGACAATTATTTCATTGAACCTTTACCCTAAAGTAGTATATGCAATATCATTTTTTTATGGTTGAAATTACGAGTTGATCTACGCTAGGAAATCATTAAAAACTGCAAGCACTGGACGACTGTTTCGTCCTAGTATAGGACTTTTCAGTGATGCATATCCACGATCATGCGCGCATGACGCGAGCTCAGAAACTTCAGTCCTACACGCGAACGCTTAACATCTAGACCACTGAGTTGGCATCCAACAATGTTAATGTATAACTTCAATCAATCCATTATATTACGCCACCTTTAATTCAATGCGTGAGGTGAATATCTACTTAACACCCGACACAGATTAGACTCCATACTAGGACGAAACGGCTATCCAGTGCTGCCAGGTTTTCAGTGGTGGTTCAGCTTAGATCAACCCGTGATTTCAACTGCAAAAATGCTACAATCTCCACAAATCCTTACACTTATAATATCGTTTTATTAGAGTGATTCTTAACAAACTTATCAAAATTATTTTACAAAAATCGTAATTACTTATTGAACGCAGCTTATTATTCTTATTATTAACATGATTTGATTTATTCAGTAATTACCGTTTATTTTGTAATTGTTTAACTGTATTTGTTTGTATTCTTTTCCAAAATTTAAAATACATATATTTACATATAAATTTGTTTCATTCAATTCATTAATATATAGTTGTTTAAAGCAACAATTAATAATCAACCTGTAGAGCCAGTATTTGATATCAAATATGAAGATCGACTAGTTCAGATTAATCAATCAAATGATGTTGAAAATATAGTGAATAGTTTAACACCAATAATTAATTCGAATGGATTATTATCGTCAACACTGGATGAACGTGTATGGGACACGGGAAAATGTAATCGAATTAATCAAGATAACCAACGTCAAGAAGGTTAGTTCATTTTGATTTTAATAAATATTTTGTTGAATTTATTAAAAGTTGATTTATGGAGGGTATAGTTTGTCAGGTCAGTTGTCAACTAAGTAGGTCAATGGTACCATATTTGACTGTAACACCAACTAATGAAGTTTGAACTATAGATACACCTTAGTTATGAGTATCAATGAACAGTAAACCCATGGTCAAGACTTCTTGTCGTCTGCCACCGATCTTATAAATGTGAGAATTATCTTTTATGGAAAAAAAATGTATTGCGTGTGTGAACCCTATATTGAGAATGTCTGCTTTTCCACAAAATTCACACTTGTTGTTGAAGTTTTAACTTATTTTTACTTCGGCTGATATGATGTGTTAACTACTAACTACAGCCCATCTATTCTATATAACTATTGTAATCCATTTTTCGGGTTTATTTTTCCTACTTAGGACAGTATAACTGAGAAGTAACTGAACGAAATGATGACCTATTAAATGCTAGAAAATACTTTTCATACTTAAATCTTAAATGTATTTCTCTGCCTAATTTGTTTTTTTCTCTTAATTTTCTTTACTGATCCTACTTTCTGAACATAGATTTACGTCGAATGCAAAAACTCACTGAATTCTTATGTGCACAACGTCAAAAAACAACCACGTGTTCAGAGATACCAACTTCTAAAGAAGTTAGTTTCTCTTAAATTTTATTACTCGAGTAATATAATTATTAAATTTATCAATTTTCTTGATTCATAGAATACATGTGTGTATGAAATAAATCATTTAATTAATTGAATGTTGATAGTATTCAACTTGCAATCTTTGTTTCCATGTTCAAAATGTGTTCAGTCTAGTTCAGTTTGACCAACCAAAGAGTATTTTTCAAGATGTTTTGATTCTAAAGCTTTCACTACATTCTTTGTAGAAGTATGTGATGGTGATATTATTTTGAAATACAATAAGTAGTTTACGAATAATCTATTCAAATAAGAAAATATAACACTTCGAAGATCTTCTTACTGGATTAAAAAGCTTATTCATAAATATTTTACACAATATATTTGTAAATCAAACATAGGAGTGATGAATATCTGTGCTTGATTATGGAGTATTTTAAAAAAAAATCATTCAAAGTAGCTACATAAAAGCTTCTTTCTTTTAATAATATTTTGTTTGCCAATCTAGACAGTTTTATTGTGAATATGAAAAACATCTCAGTAAGATCTATAAGAATTTTAAAACAAGAGTTAATCACACATCAACAAGAATCACTTCATTACATTTTGTACAAATTGAAGGAAATAACAGTAAAAGAAGATTAATCTAAGATTATCTGCAAAATAATTTGTTCTACACTGTGAAGTACTACACTAAACAAACTAGACGTGTGTTCACCTAATTGTCCACAAATGAAGACGAGCAGTTAAAACATACGACAGAAGTAACGTATATAAATACACTTAAGCATATAAAGATAAAATTTTGAGTGTGAGTATGCCAAGTTTTTGTAAAAAATAATCTTAAAGAATGACGGAGAAATTGTTGGGAGCATGTAATTGAGGTATATTTGAATTTATGAAACACAACGATGTAAGTTCAAGTTGTCATCAAATGTGGCTAACATCCATGATCAATGGTCAATTTATCGGGAATCCGAAGATATCTAAAAAAATATGAAGACACCTATTCACATACAAGATCATCAGGATAGGCTAATTTGACACTCGTGAAAGAGATTACATTTGAAGTAGGTCCTGTTTATGTTATCCAGAATGACTACATAATGTGTGCAATTAAATTGCCCTGTTCAGAGGATACAATAACACCAAGCTTTTTCCACCTGAGTTACAGGGTTTCGAACATTCCTTAGTGTTAATAGTAATTTAAGATCTCATTACTATTGGTAGTACTGAAAACATTTTTTAATGGATGGACATCCCTGGTCAGCGGTCTTTATCACAGAAGGGATAGTAGGCTTAAGTCATTAAGTAATTTGTTGTTTTAAATTATTATATGACGACCAATTTAAAAATAATGCCTAGTCAAGCAGCTATTGAGTGGTTTATAATTCTTGCATATCGAAACAAAACGGCAAAGCTGAGAGAAAACTTTGTTAATTTAATGGAAACTTCCGTTTAGTTTTTGAAGGATGGTTTTAAAATAGTCAGGTTCCGAGTGTGTGGAACGCATACAATAATTGTATACATCTCTTAGCTTACTACAATTTAATAAAATAAAATCACTACAAGATGTAGTTTTACGTATAATCTTTATCTAAATCAAAAACCGATCTAACTTATACAACCATTGAAAGCCTGTAATCAATGGACGATCGTTTTGTTCTAGTTTGGGACTCCTCAGCTGTGTGAATCTACGACCTTCAGCCTTGAACGTTAATGCCTAAACGTACATAAAATTTTCTGTGCAGTATCTTGTATCGTTCGAGAGGATGACCAACTGATTACTATTTACAGTACAAAATCAAACATTTCGATAAATAAATGATATCTGTAAAATGTAATATATTTTTGCCGTACATTCTGAACAACTTGACCACATACATACTTTTTAGGGTATTTATATGTGAGAAATAAAAAAGGTTAATGAAACAAACTTTCTAGTGAATATAAGTTGGTGGTTGCAAATAAAAGAGAGTGACAAATTCACGGCTAACAAACAACCAAGGAGGGGGGGGTGAATTTCTGAACAACCAAATCATCTATAAACCTAAGAATTCGTCTTTAACAATTCCTATATAACGTTTTAAAAGTTATGTTGATGTCTCATTTCAATTATACTTTTTTACTATCATTGTGAATATGAGATTTTACTTTCTACGTTTTTCAAAGTGTTTGACCCTAAGTGATAATGAAGCCAACCATCTAAGCATATTACATTTTTCAAATTAACTTTATCTTCTTATTTCTTTATAGAAATTTTTTAAAAATGACTACTTATTATTTCGAGTTTCATAGTTACATATGATGATCTTATCTCTTTTTTGTTTAAAAAAAAATTTAATATTTAGTGTCAGGCTGGAATTTACACACGTTTAGATTTACAGTGGCATTCACAATCCAGTTTAACACCATCGAAATCAACAGTTAACCCGATTATTCGGTGAGTGAGATTTTTAAAACTTGATTTATTCTTGATTCATTAAAGTGGATTGAGTATTGAAAGATTTACTAACCAATTAAGTATGTTTTGGTGAAATAATTACTGAAAATTTTCTAACTGTCAAAACCGCCTTGTAGACTATTTTATATATATTCTTATTGTATAATTACCGAATAATTGAATGACTGTATTTCTGTATTCTGTTGACTGTAAGCTTTCAGTGGACCAATTAACTATTCTTTTGTGTTTTACTATTCCTTAATTATGGCTACTCATCTTTTTCCTCTGTCCTATTCAACTTTCGGAGTAGTTGTGTTCATGTTGTAATTTCGTGATGATTTTGATGTGCAACCAGGAAATTAATCTTTATTGATGCACATAAGGTATACTACTATACTGTTGTTTACCGTATTCTACGGTCTGATGAGAGACTGGGTTGGAAGAACAGAATACGTTCTGGACTAATAGGATACAGGATTATTCTCAGTTTTAACTCACTGTTAACCTTGTCAGTCTAAGAGAGTTATAGTCAAAGCTTAGGATGCTGGACGATAATCGAAATAGTGTACGTGGGGTAGAAAAATATTGCAGGATTGTAATTGGGAAATTTCCTCTCTCGGGACATTGGTTAACTTTGTCCTCCAGGATAGGATCATTGTACAAAACTTATAAGAGTGATTCAATTTTATTACTTACAATTACAAATAATAAAAGTGTCGGGAGCCCTCAATATTTCTTCAAAACGTTCTTCGGAAGCCAGAACAATGCTGAATAAACTTCCATGTTCCAACATTGTTTAAAAACTCGTAGAAATTTCCTAGAAAACGGCGGGTTATATTTTCACAATCTTTACAATGCAGTTACCAATGTCGTCGTTAGCTCAGCACTTTCTAAGGAATACTTAAATCTGAAGGTCATGTGTAATCCATTGTTTCTTGTACGAGTACTGATTTTTTGAGTAAAGCCTGTTTCATAATTTCACACTTTTCACATACAATTTAGTAATCTCAGTATTTCGACATGGATGTTGAAAAAAGATTACTTAAATTGCTTTTTGAAGATTGTGTTATTATTCAACGATGATTCTCATCCACACTAAAATCAGTTGGAGAACTAACACAACTGGGGAAGATCATAATAATTTACTCAGCTTAGGACTTTTTTAGACTTCGCATAGTATCAAAATCCAGAATTATAAAATATTGTGGCGTCCCTCATAAAAATACTAACCAATGAATCTATACCATATGATATATATCTTCTCAATTCATCCAACTTTCGATTCATCACTGCCATGTCTTCAGTAAGTTATCGCACTATTCACGATCTGATTAATTCCATAAGGCATAAATTTAAAGTCGGATTTTAAGAAATTAATTCAAACCATGTTTGTGTCATGACTGTGTGTCTAAATGAAATATCAGACATAATGATTTTGAAAATATGAACAATAGAAGTTTTCAAAGCTTGGAATTTATATCATTGGATATATAATGGTTCTGTTGATAGGGACAATTATAACCACTGACAAAGTTATAAATCAACCTAAGTAAAAAGCACTCAAAGTATATAAATAAACTGTTACAACTCAATTACTGATGACAATTACCCACTTCCAGTGTTGACAATACAATCTATTGGTTACTAGTAGATAAGATTTTAATGATTCATCTATGTCGAAACTTTGTACAGATGATGAAAGTTTCAAGATTGACTTACTCACTTCAGGTAAAAAAAATGCCATATTAACGAATTTTTCGTTTGGCCCATACATTTTCTTCGTCACTTGTACTTCTAATACTAGACATTAATGAACATCTTAGAGTGTTTTTTAGTTTACATTAGGAAGTGAATTTAGTAAGATAATCGTGAAAAAACGAAGAAGAAAGAAACAACTGTTCGATTTTAATGCACATCTGATAAATCAACGAATTCCTTTAGAAATAAATGAAATTAATCCAGAGTTTCCGTTAACTACTAAGTGTAGACTGTTTTACACAATACCATGTTGTAACTCACTTGTTTATTGTTTTAAGCAAATTTATATATACAGCTAAAAGTTGGAATGACTGAAGAATGAAAAATCACTGAAATTGAACCAACACATTCACCAAAAATAAGTTCAGGGTTTAACTCTCAAGTGCGGGATTGTTGATTAGCACTTACTAAGTAGTCCCAATAATAGGACAGGACGGTCGTCTACTGCTTTCAAATTTTCAATGATTATTTAACTTAAATCAGTTCGTAATTTAAATGAAAGAAGAACATACTTTTAATTGTTTCTGTTGACCCATAGAATTGCAAAACAACAGAAGATTAAATTAAAATAACGTCAGTATACTATTCACCTTGACTTAAGTTGTTTGGAAGAAAGTATATTGACTAAATTAATGCTAATATTTGTCCTATCAAATATTAAACTAAAAAAATACAGCAAATCAGATCAAAATAGCTGTCTAATCAACAAATTATGTATTACATGAGAGAGTTAATGTTACGTAAGTATTCAAGGTCTCGTGATTTTTAAATGATTTCGATTATTTGTGTGGTCGAGGGTATCAGTTTCTACTTTAAATGCTATATATGTTTGAGAATCGAGGCGGGTGATCTCGATGCTTTCATGCATACAGACGCGCACATGAACTGGTCATAAGGATTGAGACTATATTTCTCCTTAATTTTGATATGAAACATCTATGTTGTATTTAATCATCTAGTGATTTCATTGCACAATACAAAAAAGCCTTTTAGCTGTATCATAATTTAGATCGCATTGTATTTTCATAACGGTTATACGTAGTCGATTAATTTTTATCAAAGTGATAATTTAAATTTACAATTTTGATACCAGTTAAGTAAACGTGAAGATAAAAAGCACAAAGAAACTACAGTAAACAAAAACCTGTTTCTATTCAACTTAAATTCAAAGGTGATGATGTCACAGGATCAATAATCATAAGACTAAAAACTGCATTGTCAAGAACTTGTCCTTCAGCTAAAATGATTGTCTTGTCCAAAACAACACAATCAGAGATCAACAGGTGTCTCTTTTATGTTACCACCAACTATGTGTACAAATCCATATGTATCTGCAAAGCAGTTACATTGGTACAACAGAAAGGAGAGCCTACGTCCGATTCGAAGAACATATTCCAAAATATCTAGGGTCAAGTAGATTAAAAGCATTCAGCAGTGCCACTTCGAGACATCTTGATACAGAGCATCAAGTGGATACACTGAATTCTTTCAAGATGATTAATAAACAATCATATTTCATTCCTCTGAAATTTGCCGAAGCGATAGCAATCTAAAGCCAGATGTATGTGTCCAAAAAGAAACAGTAATAAGCCTTTCTTTGATCTAGTAACATTACTTCGTTCTTATTGCATCATTCATTATTTCAACTTTTTCTCAAGTTTTGATTACATCATTGTCATTTCTCTTGAATTCATGACTGACTGATTAAACTCATATTTTTCCTTATCATGTTTATTATACTTTCAGTTACTTTACTAGACAATCATCTGATGTTTGTTAACTCAATGATTTCTAGTTACTATCTCAATGTTCTGCAACTTTTCCTCTCATATTTCATTTATTTATCTGAAATAAATTTAAGATCTTATTAACTTTATCGGAATCTTTGTTATATCATTATATACATATTCATATCTAAGCACCCTCGTATTTATAAGTATGTCAATACCTGTCATAACTTTGATTGTAAGCAACTGATGAGAATCTAATAAAATAAAATGAATTCATATTCTTCTACACCGAAATTTGTTTTTTTTGTGCTCTCTTTAAAAATTATTTAGTTGACATTCATACTTGTAAATTATAGTCAAGTATAGTTAATAATAAAAAACCTACACAAATGATCTTTCATATATTAAATCATTATTTTAGTTTTATAAGTCAAACCAAAATGTGGCATCAGTGCTTGAAGTCAATAACTTCTAGTCTGAGCCATTTTGGGAGATGTAGACTACTTGGTTAGGGTCCGTGTGACTATCGTAACCAATGGTTGGACACTTTAGGTAACATGGCTCAGAATCGATTTCAATGGCGTAGGTGTATACATTCTCTGTCTTCCCTTAAACTATGAGATTAAAATCGCTTCATATCTTTCTTTCTTCCTGTACTATATCCTTATTGCAATCTTACTTTTATATATTATCACCTCTGAATTAACTACTTTTATGAATCCAGTGTTTATCTTGTTGTGTTAATGAGGTATGGCAACTTGGACCGATGCATATATGTGCCTGGTCCTACATTGTAACTGACTGACTAATAATTCAATGCACTTATTTTCAATATTTTATATACGTAATCAAAATCATTTAGGTCAACATTAATGTGTGTTTTTACTTATTTAAACTAGTTTCTTGTATTTCTAGTTATTACTTTAATGATTTATATCTATTGAGGGTTTTCTTTTTTCTAATTATTATTTCAGAAAATCTAAATCTCAGATCTCTTCACTCCCATTTCGTTAACTGACTGTATACCTATATGAAGCCAATGAATCAATGTGAAGTTCGCTATTATTATTATTATTATTGGAACTGTTTGTTTTAATGTGTGTATAATAATAATCGCTTGTAAAATATAACCAACCTATTTGTTGAGAAAAGTAGTGTACATTATTTTGTGTTAATGAATGGTTTATTAACAGTAATGTTTAATGTACAAAGTTTTTTATTGTTTCTATGATTGATATATAAAAGGGGATAAAAACATATATTTAGTTGTGTTGTTTTTTAAAAAGAAATTAGATCCTGATCAGACTTGAATTTAATATACAATAATGTATAAACTTAAATATAACTCCGCCTGTAGCTCTTATAGGGTTACTGCCGGTCCCAAGCCCGGGTAAAGGAGGAGGGTTGGGCATGGGGTTAGCGTCCCCATCCCGTAGAAAACTAACTCGCTAAAAAAACGCTTACCAGAAAAATAAACTTAAATATGAAAAATTATTTTAAACGAATCCAAGTTAATGATACAAATGAAAATGGATTACATAATGATTTTTGATAAATGAAAAGTAAGGCGACAGCTCTACATAATTATGAGACTAACTAATTTAGCTGTCTAAGGTTGGGATAAATAATGAATGATGAACAGGTTTTGCATCATTTAAATGAATTGATAAAATGGTAAACAATAGGTTAACACAACTGTGCGATGTACCCACATGTATCGACTATTCAAAAGATCGGGTTATTGACACAAACTGGATAATGAACTGATAATAGGAGATTATTAGCTATAATAACAGGGTATTCTAATTCATGTACTAACATGTTTGTATAAAAAATATTTTCATAAAACGATATACGACTAAATGACATAAACGAATAGAGGATATCAGTCCCTCCATAAACAAATGGAAACTAATTGTCACTATTATTTCTTGCTTATCCACATAAGTTATCAAGACTTTTTCAATCATTAACATTTCTATTTTTAATAAAATTGTACCATTTTAAATCAAACATTATTAACTACTTAATTTTCATCATTTTATCAAGGCTTAATGGCATTATTAGACTAATGAAATTTTAATCAACCAGATTGAGATTTTACATAATCAGAATTATGTCATATATGTTTGTGCAATACATTTCGAACAATCTGATCATACATATACTTGTTAAAACATTTTTATATGGAAATTAAAAGGTCAACTAGACAGGTTAAAGGTAAACCGTAATAAAGAAAAATAAAGTACACAAAAACAATGTGATAACCACTCTGGATAATAAATCAGTATTAACAGGGCAGGTTAAGGATAAGGACAAATTATTTTTGAACGCATAAAAGGGGTTTCAGTTTCTGTATAACCAAGACTTCAATAAACCTTAGTATATGTCCTTGGAGGCTTTTTTACAACACTACAAATGCTTATTTGATGTCAACCTTGTGACCAGACTGAATCAAATGCTTCGCAATGGAGGATGATGTCTATTTATCCTGTGGTCTTATTTGATCACTGGAATTTATTTTTTTCTGCAGCCATTTCGGTATGTGTTCACCCACTCTTAATTGCAGATCACAATTGCTCCTCCCTATGTACATGTTTCCACACATACATGTAAATTGATAGACACAATGGGATGTGGCACAATCGCTTACGTGTTGTTTGGGTTTTTGATGAAACATAGACCTTGCCTTTTCAATAATGACAAGTTGGGCTGCATAAAATGTCCAGTAGATGGTTCATTTAAGTCTCCGTTTCAACATGACACTTTTTGATGCGCCTCTAAATGGTAACATAATGTAAACTCGTTTTTCTTTAGTTAAACATTGAATTATAAAATGATAAAGAATTCAACTTACATTGATTCAACTGTCCATAAACAAGTTTTAAAAAAGACCAACATGAAAAACAAAAGAGTTTAAATAATATTGTTCTTGCATTCCCAAACGACTTGCTTTTTATTCCCGTTCTTCCTTTCTTGATCTTCCCAATCTTCCACTACCAGACACTACATTCCTGACTCGCGTTATATACTACTTATGTCAATATAGGTAGTACGCACCAATATTAGTGAAATTAAGTGAAAACTAAAAAAAATTATTGAAAAGAAAACAAATAATAATGATCATTGATAAGTATGAAATAACTTTAAAATTATAGATTTGTGGAAAGATAACTGGTGTGCAGGCGAGAATGATAATGATTGGTTGTTCGCTTAGTCAAATATGCAGATGGTCTGATAGGTATTAGATGAGTTATATATTCCCCTATCCTTATTATTATTGATTGTTCATTTTTGTTGGATTGTGTCGGATTTTGGTGTGGAAATATATATACATTCTAGTCAGGCTAATCACGTGTTTTTGATCTGAGCTTTGTTGAAGTCCTCTAGAATAGATACTAGGAAGGAATCTAGTGTAGATATTCGTTTAAGGTAAATTAACTTCCCATATGTGTAAATATGGTAAACTAACCGTTATAACAATAACTAAGGCGTAAGTATACACTATTGGAACTTATTTTACATAATATCATCTAAAAGATTCTTTAAAAGATTTTCATTGTTTCATAGATTTTAGAAATACTGTAAATTTTCTCATGTCATAACTTAGTAAAATAGATAAAGGTTTTTTTTTATTAACTAACCATAATATATCATAGTCTCATGGCCCTCTAATGCTCTGGTACGGCCGAGAGTGGGGAGGGTCCGCTCTCCCTCTCCAAATGCTCTCACATGGCCACGCGTATATAGCCTCTACCAGGGAAGTCCTACTCACTACCTTCTCGTGGCGGGGGTGTTGTTTACGAAAATGAGAGGACGAAAAGCGAATGTCAGGCGCTTTAACCGGATTCCAAACCAATGGTGCACATGGGCTCCAGTATCCTGAGGGAACAAATGGCGTATGAACCAATTGTTGGTCACTGGCTTCCATGAGATTGCATCTCCTTACGATCTCCACTGCTTTGTGGATCAGACCTTCAGGTCGAAGGCTCGGGGAGTGGCCTACTAAGAAAACCACCTGCTTTGGTTTGGTCACCCGGCCAGTATCACAGCCCTCACACACATAAAATGAGATTTGTGTGCCACATATGTATTTGATGCCTTTTTGTACCAATATTTATATGTTAAAATAAATAAATAGTCTTATGGCTTATATTTTCTTTTTTTAACTTACACTTATGTTAAACAAAACAGAATAAATGATAACAAGAAAATGTTTGATAGATTTCTAAATGATCTCATTCGATTGTCATTTATAAAAGTTGACAGATTTATCTTCTTTATCTGGTATTTTATTCATTAACTCAATATGGTGTGTTAGCTATGTGTTAGTTTGATTCTAGTTAAGCAAATTGAAATTTCAATGAAATAATACATTCTAAATACTCTCCAAACAAATTTCCACTATCTCTTACAATAACTTTTAATCTAGTTCACAACTATTGAGATTTAAGAGTGTAACATGCTTACTTCCAATTCACCCGACGATAACATGAGGAAGCATATGAACATTATTAGAATTTTAAATTTGGGTTTGACATTCTATTATTTAAGATGAAAGTTCTTGTGAAGACGGCCTACAGGTGAACTCATGGAAGCTCTAAGAAGCTCATAAATAGCCGAAGATATTCCATCCAATCATCTTTTGAAAAAATATTCTGGAATCCCTACGCGTAGCTTCCCTATTAGACAAATGCTAATAACCCCCTGTATGCGGATCGGAGGACTATAATGATAATTTGGTTTTTACTAAATGCTATAAATACTTGACAGATTTGTACCATAATTGACACTGTTTGAAATAGCATTCCTTCCACTTGTCTTCTGTTTTTTTCATTTGCGACTTATGAGGGTTCTAGCGTTCGAGTTTTCAAGTTATACGCGGTATATTGAGAATCCAAGTTCTAAATATGATACTTTTGTAGAACCTGACTCAATAATGCGAGCTCAGTGAAAAAATTTATCATTCTTTGTTAATCCTATTCGGTACTTGACTAAATATTTAAATCATTTAACAATTAATTTTGTTACAATTTCTTAGATTTTTAAGAAGGATCAAAACAACAGAGAAAAAATCTACGTTTATATTAATAATCTGGGATCATTTTTTGAAGAGAAAGTTATAACAATAACGATTTTTTATAAAAGGAAAACAAGTGTGATAATTAGGAGTATTTGAATTATAGTACGAACTAAGAATACTTAAAATGGAGTACTAATGTTTTGTCATGAAACCTGTGAAAAGCTATCTGGGATTTAGTGGAACAGTAAGACGTTTGTGTGGAAATAAATTCTAGTAGAGCATTTTGATGTAATCCCATTAAACTGAAACGACGATGAAAGGCTAGAGCGACCACCAACGTCATTTATTGATAAAAACAGTGCATATATATACAAAGTCTACTATACTTTCTCATTGGTTATTCATTTAATGTGAGGTAATGGTCGTTCATATCGCTAGGATCCCATGAGAATCCTTCGATAAAACTTATATAATCCAGATAAATACCGAGAAAAAATTTCCCAATCAGTGCACGGCACAGTAGCTGCAAGAAAATTGACGGATTTCGTATTAAGATCTGGATGATTACTTTTTTACTTAATTTGTCATGTTCCCGGAGTTTAGCGGTTATCAGTAAACCTATAAACATGATTGTTTTATGTACATAAATGAATATTTATATTTCTGAGCTTTTCTCTATTATTCGAATTCAGGTGAAGTCATAGGAAGTTATTAACAAGAGTTCAACAAGCAGACTTATTATCTACGATTTCATCAAAATATGAAATGATACAGTAACTGAAACATTTTATTACTGAGGGCTTCCAAGATCATCTTGAACATTGGAAATGAAGATGGGAGAGGTGTTCTTTTTTTACAAATTACGAGTATTTAGAAAGGATTAGGATTTGTTCAACCAATGTGTTTTAATCAGTTTTAATAACATCAATTTACGTACATAGTAAACATAGTGGTATGTTGAAATTCTTTAAAAAATGATATCAGTACAAGTCAATTTTTTTTATAAGATGTGGTAGACAAGCACAATTACAAGCAATTTTATGGAATTCTTCATACGGTTCCGGTGTTTATTGCGTCTTTGAATCATGTTTCAACCCATTTAGCCCCTATCTACTAGATCGACC